GCGCATAGTGTTGCAGAGGAACCCTCTACATCGGATCAAGGCCTGCTTATTGATCAGGAAACCATGGCGCAGTATTCACCAAGTATTTACGCATTCATTTACGAAACCTGTGCATCTTTCAGCACTCATCGGGGGTGTTTGTCAATTGTTTAAATGCATGAAACAGTTTATCAACTCCGAAGCACTACGAGTTTTTTTTATAACAATAATAACCTTGAATTGTGAATTTTCGTAGCTCATAAACTATTTATGGAATGTAGACAAGACGCCATAATTGAGGAAAGATGCAGAGGTTTCGTAAGTGGTCGCATAAATGCCAGGTAAGTGTACATGTGTGCCAGGTAAGTGTACATGTGTGCCAGGTAAGTGTACATGTGTGCCAGGTAAGTGTACATGTGTGCCAGGTAAGTGTACATGTGTGCCAGGTAAGTGCACCTGGCCCAGCAGCCCAGCAGTGCCGATAGCCTGAATGAGTAAACCTGACTGCGAAAAGGGCCTCGGAGCCAAGAATAATAACGACCTACAACCAAGACTTCACGGACGAAATAAGGCTATTATGACCCCGCGACTGTGTGGCTCACGTCTGCAGTCTGAATGTCATCTATACAAAGAGAGGGAGGGAGGACATTATCAGATTGATTGATGAAGATTAAGCCACCCAAGAGGTGGCACGGGCATGAATAGCCCGTAAGTGGTGGCCCTTTCGAGCCATTACCAGTATCAAAAGATGATACTGGAGATCTGTGGAGGCGCAACTGCACCCTGCGTGACGGGAGATGTCTCCCGGACCAAGTGGTGACCAAATGGTGGACATTATCAAGATTGATGATTGATAAAGATTAAGCCACTCAAGAGGTGGCACGGGCATGAATAGCCCATAACATTATCAAGGAAATGATAATTACTATTTATTATTACTATTATTAGGGGATTATTACTACTATCCCCTATACCTTACTTTCCTCCTCAGCTCTCTCTTGCCTATTTATTGCCTGTCTCTACCTCCTCATCACACGGGAGACATCTCCCGTCACGCAGGGTGCAGTCGCGCCTCCACAGATCTCCAGTATCTTCCATTGATACTGGAAATGGCTCAAAAGGGCCACCACTTACGAGCTATTCATGCCCGTGCTACCTTTTGGGTGGCTTCATCTTCATCTTAACACATTCACAAAGGAGACATCTCCCGTCATGCAGGGTGCATTCGCACCTCCACAGATCTCCAGTATCAGCTTTTGATACTGGTAATGGCTCAAAAGGGCCACCACTTACGGGCTATTCATGCCCGTGCCACCTTTTGGGTGGCTTAATCTTCATCAATCAATCAAATCTCCTCATCACAATCGACTTGAGAATGGTCCAGGACGGACCGAAACGTCGTCGTCCCTTCACCTTCTAGTGTGTGGTCTTCTCAACATACTTTAGCCACGTTATTGTGACTCATCGCCAGCAACATGGGCACATAACGCAATGATATCACAATGGCGTGATATACCAATGGAAATCATTTTGAGGCAATGAAATGACTTTAACCCGCGTTCTGATCATTCCCAGACACCTGCCTTAACCGACTCGGCCACGATGGTACAAACGTTGACCTACCCTGAACTCTACAGAATTCACTGAGAGGTTCTGGAGGCTCCAAACTGGAGCCCTTCCAGGGTTTCACAGTTGACCCGACCACACTGGCCTTTGGAAATGGCGTTAACTTTTACGCCCCGCATCAGATCGGTGTCTGGGAATCCCCAGAACGCTGGATCAAGTCACTCCATTGCCTCAATACACACAGAAATCACAATAACTTGATGCATCAATGAACAAATCCACAAGGGCCGTGACGAGGATTCGAATCCTCGTCACGGCCCGTAAGCTCAGTCGATTAAGGCAGCGTCTGGGATGCTCACAGACGTAGATTCGAATCCTCGTCACGGCCCTTGTAAATTTGCCTCAATATGACTATTATGCGTACATAAGAACAAACTACAGAAGGCCTATTGATACATCCTCCCAAACTCATGCATGTCTTGGAATGACCATTGACACGGTGGAGGTGATAGCGAATATGTTTTGTGTCACCGCGCCTCGTGTAACTCCATGCACGTGTGGCACTGTGGGCGTGTGCACGTGTGGCACTGTGGGCGTGTGCACGTGTGGCACTGTGGGCGTGTACACGTGTGGCAATGTGGGCGTGCCGTGGAGGGCGTGTGCTGGTATTTTCTCGGCTTACCGGCCAGTGACAACCAATCTCTTAATAGCGTTCAAAAGCACGCCTCTTTCTTTGGCATTCCCAGTGCCCTGCCTCCCTCACTGGCACTCCCTTACCGCGCCTCCCCCATCAAAATCGCTCTCTTTCTGTATATATATATATATATATATATATATATATATATATATATATATATATATATATATATATATATATATATATATATATATATATATATATATATATATATATATATATATATCCATCCATCTCTATCCTCTTACAAACACACACACACGTAAACACCATTGCATGAAAAATACAATTAACAATATTACGGACCTGGGAAGGGCTAATAAAACGAGACGCCCACAGAAAACGCAAGATGGGACGCCCCCCCCCCCCGTTTCCTGTGGTGCACTAGAAGCATTACTGAGCCTCGGACGCCGACCAAGGTCACCACACAACGACCCGCGCCAGCTCCTCCAGCGGGTCCTTCCGCTCAATATAACGGCCAGATTCTCACTTCAAGACTACGTGCCCACCTTTACGGAACTGAGCACGTCAAGCTTCACGATGCAATTCACACACGTCAAGCTTCATGCTGCAATTCACACATGTCAAGCTTCATGCTGCAATTCACACTTCAAGCTTCACGCTGCAATAATTCTTCACGCTACAACAATTCTTCATGCATTACGCTACAATATACATCAAGCTTCACGCTACAATATAATCAGCGTTATCAGCTACAAGAACGCTTAGCTGTTTTTTTCAGATTCAACTACCCTGAACATAAGTTCCAAGTAGCACGGGCTATAGTGAGAGTCCGTTGAACGCTCAGCTCTTCAACTAGCAACTACCATAACCCTAGACATCACTGCCACCGACAGTGACATCCAGCTTCATACTACCAACTATTAAACCGTTTGAGGTCACACCAGGGACAGACCGGAATGCAGGCACTGTAAAGCTTACTCAGACTTGCTCATGGCACTGTTGCTTTGTTAGGGAAACAAAGCCCTAATATGCGCTTTCATAATTCTATCGATTTACATTTATGCGAAACATTTTTAGCATAGAGAGGATTTATATCTCTACCGATTCATCATTTTTTTTTAGTTTTGATATAGAAAGTTTTTAAAAATATTGTAAATACCCATCATCAGCCTCATCACTGAGATGAGGCTATATGTAGCATGGAAGGAAATAAGGAAAGGGTAAGATAACCGTTTAGTCCTACAGAATATTATAAGCTACAAGTAATAATAATTATGGACGTGGCAACAAAAGTAGCATTATTATTATTATTATAGAAATACTTATGTGTATTAATATAAAATATTAAATCTTTCTGCGGCTACAGTATTACTGAAATTTTCGGGGGCAATAACCGTACTTAATATATTAAGTTTTATATTATTATTATTGTTATTATTATTATTATTATTATTAATATCATTATCACCATCACTATAAAAGTATATCTTTTAACAAAAGGGCAACCTAACCAATATATTACATTATTTAGTCTCATATGCACATATTGACGAACTTGCACCATCAATCTGTAACAAAATTTAACCTCGGAAACTAAGAACCACGATTTTATTGATAAAAAAAATGTGTACGTTAAGAAAACGCTAATTAAATATTCTCACATTTTACGACAGAGGAAAGCGAGGTAGCCTCTTAAAATGGCCATCAAATTATTGCTTAACAGGAGTCTAAACCAAGCAAAGGAGAATGTGAATGTTACTCTTGTTTCTTTAGGGGAGGTGTGCATCCCTCACAGTGCATAGTAGTACAGTAAACCCTCACAATGCACAGTAAACCATCAATGCACAGTAGTACAGTAAAGGTAGCTGCGACCAAGTACCACCCAGCTCACTCCCACTGCTCTTCTAACTCCTTGCATCCTCTCCTTGTGTCATCCCTCAAAATCTACCACATTTATTTTAATTCTCGTTTATTTGTGTACACACTATGTACGATTCACATAGTTCTTTCATAATTAATATATACAAATATGTGGGGAAAAATTGTGAAAAGTATTTAAGAGCATTAAGTAAAAATATATCCTAATGGTATAGTGGTATATATCTAATTTATATAGATATTTAAATATAATTAATTTTGGCACCACTTATCTATATTCTCTTCAAACAGTAAATTTATGTATAGAACATATTTATAAAAGTAATGACTTGTAATGGCTATATATTAACGGCTGAGTGTTGAGTAGGACATTTTAATTGTCTTTTAAACATTGTTATTGTTAATGTCACTAATTATAATGCTTAAACCATGAATTGTTGAACGACAACTGTGCAACTGAACGCTCCAAGCTTTATTGAACGAACATTTAATGAAACACTAATCAATGTAGCCCTATGTATATAGGCTCTGAACCTCAATATCAAAATCACTTAGTTGCAAATATGCAGATTTGTTCTGATCTGTAAAACGACACTTTTGCCTTCCGCTACAGCAGCAATAAGACCACGCAAAGGATATCAAGAAGAGTGATCATTGCTATCAACACTCCTCTCACGTGTAGCAGCCGGCGGCCAGACATGCAGAGGCCGGTAGACGGTCCTGTGTCTGTGACAGGCAGGCAGGGCATGACAATCGTAGCCTCATTGACCTCACCTTCTCTCATAAGCAGGTACAAACAAATAACAAGTCTAATTAATCCGCTGTTTATGTCTTCAATGTCAACATAATCTCATGCAGCCATCACTCCCAAAACTGCATTTGAGCAAAACAAGAGAGAGGATATTGTATCACTTACGGCTAAGGGCAGGCAGGCACCAGACACGAGGCTCGCACCGTACTGTGGCGGCGCGTGCAGGGGGGGAAACGTTCTCACACACACAAACACACACAACAACAAACACGTATTAAGGCGCGTGCAGGGAAGGAGGATGTGCTCAGGACCGCGACGTCGCAGTGAAGTGAAGTTGTCTTGAGACCAACCCCCGCACCACAACCCTCCGCCACTGTTGCCACCCGCCTCTCTCACCACACCTCTTCTAATACCCCTAACACTATTCTCCTCCTAACTCCTCGAGTATCTTTTACATAAATATGCTACTTTTAATCAAACAATGGCGGTATCCGTTAAAATAAACGATTTATATATCGTACAGGCATAAATATGTTCTGTTTCTATTACAGGAAGATGAGGCGCGCGACTGGCAGCATTTGGAAGGTCTGCAAGGTAATGCGAAAAGCTAAAAATCTTTGCTTTGGTGGTGTTGATGATAGAGGCTCACCCACACCTCCACAGCCACACCATGCACCACACTCACCCACACCTCCACAACCACACCATGCACCACACTCACCCACACCTCCACAACCACACCATGCACCACACTCACCCACACCTCCACAACCACACCATGCACCACACTCACCCACACCTCCACAACCATACCATGCACCACACTCACCCACACCTCCACAACCACACCATGCACCACACTCACCCACACCTCCACAACCACACCATGCACCACACTCACCCACACCTCCACAACCACACCATGCACCACACTCACCCACACCTCCACAACCATACCATGCACCACACTCACCCCACACCTCCACAACCATACCATGCACCACACTCACCCCACACCTCCACAGCCACACCATGCACCATACTCGCCCACACCTGCACAGCCACACCATGCACCACACCATACACCACACATACACCATGACACATAATAATAATCAAATATATAACAAGCAGAAGTACGAAATTCAGTGCGATAATGCTTATAGCACGTGGATAATTGAGAACGAAAACATTATAAAATGATTTCACTATAAAATACAGTCAATTCTATAATACAGAAGGCATACAGAATACACAAATATGTATATCCTTCGTGTATTTGTTTATTGTATCCAACCTTGCTGCCACCTACATACACCTTGGTACTCACTAGAGGCAGGTGGTGCAGCAAATCACAAGGTAAACAGCAAAATCTAACACGTATCAAAAAATTGGAAAGTCAGCTCATCTTTGTTCCCATGGCATCTGAGACCAGACACCACCAGAGACCCAAGAGCTGTCAGTTCCCTGTTTCAGCGCCTCAGTGTGGCGATCCAGAGGGGGAACTGTGTTCTCGGTTCATGTTTGGAAGCAGAGGAGCTCAAAGAGATCCATAACTTTCAATCTTTCATTGTTTTTCATTTCATATTACATTCAGTGAACATTATGAACATTCATTCTCAACATTACTGTTGAGAATGAGGTTGATCCCCAAATATTTGCCTTCGCTTGCAATTACAAGTGAATGATTTAAGAGAGAGAAGCAGTCAATACGCAAAGTTACAACAACAATGTGTAGTAATTAACTTGTCAAGAATGAAAGAGCAAGCAGGGAGGGGTGCGGGGTATGTTCTTCAGAGAACATCAAGACAGAGAGTTGAATATCTTCTACAGAGAACAACAAGGGAGAGATTAGGGGGTATGTGCTTCACAGAAGAACAAGGAAGAGAGACATATGTTCTCCAGCTAACAAGAGACGTATGTTATCCAGAGAACATCAAGGGAGAGAGTCAATCCCTCTGGGGTATGTCCAGAGAACAACATAAGAGCGGTGTATGTTCTCTAGAACAAAAATCAGGTTGAAACTTAGAACAGGTTTGAAAACATAATTTTTTGACGCTCACTTATATTTTGTTTGAGTAATATAACAAACGTCAATGAAAGCTACGTACTAATATTATTTTGATCTTTCCAATGAGCTCCCAACGTTGTTAAAACCATCATATATAAGCCTACAATTAATTAACATCCCTGCCAATAGTCAAAATTAATAGTTGGAGTTGCTATTAATACTAATTGACGCTTCAAGACTGATTATGATGGTTTACACGCATGAGAGAAACAATTAAAGCGCAGAAAAAGCGTGGAGAGGGAGCCGGGAAGGACTGAATGGCGTAACTAATGACGTCATTCATAAGCTTCCTTGTACTCCAAGCTCCGCCCACAAAACGTTATGCTCCTTGTGGGGCCCCAATGTCGCTTCCTGAAGGTCATGAAGGAAACGATATCACGCTTACTGAGTGGCCGCTCACGGAAACAGAAACGGAAACAGTAATCGGTGCTGTACCTGTTCAAGTGGCTCAACAGCACTGTTTCCTTCGTGAGAAGAATGGCTTATATAGCATAAGACCCAGCATATGTTTCTGGGAATTTAAACCATACATCTATATGTCTGGGAATGAGCTACATAGACTACCTCTATAACGTTAGCATGTAAGGCACGGCTTAGAATAATAGGAGTATAGAATAGAATAATAGGCTCAACAAATTTCTATATTATGAAGAATGAGCGATGATTTGAATTTGAATATCTATCTCTGTCTTAGATATGAAATTTAGAAATGTATAAACAAACCCATATTTGATCGGACCTGTAGCGCAGTATAGTCTATTATATGCGTCCTCGGTCGGGTTGGAATTTTTTTTTTTTTTTTTTTTTTATTATTTTCTACCACAGACGTGGCCACACATTTACAATGCTAACCAGCATATATACATTTTCTTCTGTCCTCCATGGACAGGGTTAGAGAAGTGTTAGACATAGAGTTCAAGGGTTTATTGAACACTCAACCACAGAAGGTGATTCGGTGCTTTTAAAATGCTAAGCTAACCTACATACGTAAATACATAGATACACAGATTTACGTATGCCCTACATAAAGTGTTTGATGTGTCTTTTACATAGTGTCATTAATGTACATTCACAAAGGTGAAATGTAATTCTGATCAGCTTCCATATATACTTTATACCCATACATATACATACATATATACACACACATGCATTCACATACATCTGTCTCATTTACTCTGACAGGGTGAGATAGCTGATAAAGAAACTAGTGTGCAATTAAGCACTTAATCACTGAAGGTGATGAAGGTGCTTTTACAAGCTCAGGTTATATAGTTACATCATATAACATTGAATAAATGATATATTGAATATAACATTGAATAAGTGATATATTACATGGTCAATCTTGGATACAAGTCCAATATATCATCAAGTGTTCCAGTACTCATATAGTAACTACAGAGTTCAGCATACCTTAGCCCAGGAGGGCGAAAGTCAGTGGGCATGTTTCCTTTTAAGTATAAGAAGCCGGATGTTAGCCAGCTGTCGTGGGAAGCATCCTGGAAAAGTAGTCAGCCTAAGGGGAGAGGGAGGGCATCGCTAAACCTAACATTTCAGAAGCTCCAACCTACGGTCCGCCTGAAATGTTATATTTCCTCCGGCCCCTATTTAAGCACATAGTTATTAGTGATCCATGTCCACTTCATATAAATTGTCAACAACACTATCGTGGAAATATACAACTTCCGGAAGAAGCCAAAGAGCTTCCGCCTCACAGCCATGGGGTAGAAGGTTAAAATCTCCTAGTGCCCAAGTGATTGAAATGTTTATTTCCACAATAGTGTAGGTGACATGAATATTTTTTTCCCCATAAGGAATAATGTAATTTGGATTAGTACGTTCCACACCACAAAAATACACATATAAACACAATAGATGAAATAAATGGACATCTGTTATCAGCTTACCCGTGAACAAATCCACAACTAGGGCCGTGACGAGGGTTCGAACCTACGTCCAAGAGGATCCTAGACGCGCCTTACCCATACTGGCGTATGTGCAAGGTGGTGAGGAAGTGGAAGAGAGGGAGAAATGTTATTCTTTGGCAGTGGAGTCCCCTGCCATATAAACGTCAGGCAATTGTACTTTTGTGAGTTTTTCTTTTCTTTTCTGTCATTTTCTTTTCCCCTCTTGAGACTCGATGCTTTTCTTACAAGAACCTGCTGTCCAGTGATATTTGTTTTTGCCTGCGTTTTAAAATGTTTCTTAAGTGAGACCTTGCATTGTCATTCAACAGATTTATAACACTGGCTGCCACAGCTTTGTCAGGGATATTTTTGTAGAAAACTTTGCACTTCCTCCTATTTGGCACACATTTCTTTTAATAGAGAACAGTATTTAGGCTAGCCCGTCCTCGACTCAAGTCCATTTCATCCAGCGGTCGATCCCACAGACGCATTCATAAATTTTTACATGCTGTTCATTCAAAATGGGAATTTTCTCAAATATAAATTAATATAATAATATAGTAGCATATTGTGCATATATAGGCATAGGTTGGGTTAAGTTAGGTGTTTAGTTTCTGTTGGTGATTATTTATATTTGTAGTACGTGGATGAAGCGTTTACAGCGTTGTGGTTCGAACAAAATTCGTCAGTGAAGCACCTGTTCCGGAAGTGTTCGAACGAAGTCAGTTGCGAGTCGTGTGTAAACCGTTTTATATTCACAAACGGGGTTTGGCAGGTGCATGGAATGGACTTTGGCCTTTGTTTATGACGTGATGCTCAGGTGTATGAAACAAAATCTGAGTGGTCCCTTAGCCATTAACCACCTAAGAACTCTATGACACGACCACAGTTTTAACTTCCATTGCCAAGGATCATTCCTCTGGCGTACATAGTACCTTAACCACTTTACTGTTCATCTGGAGTGGTAGCATTTGCATTTCTTACCATTTAAAATTGCTCTGTGCAGACCAATGGCTTTTAATGCTCAATAAATGTGGGAACTATATGATACCATGGAAATAAAAGGGGTGCATCATTGAAAAAATATTTATTAATATATTTAAATTCTTTTAGTTTGTACAAGATAATACAGTATGAACATCTTATTGCATAATGTAAATGTGGGCATCAAACACATCATCCCTTTAACTTATGCAAATCAGAGTTAACCTCAAAAGAAGGGAAAGTATCAAAAGTAACAAGACTCCATAAGAAATGTGGGTGCATTCTGGTGATTAGGGTGTCCGTGCAAAAGTCACGAATTTGATTTTTCTGCTATACAGTACTCTGAAAAATTCAATAGTAACTTGACCTA